TCAAACGATCCACGTTCTCAGATGTGCCCGCGTCGTTCATGGATTCCTTCCATGGAGGAATCCACATAGAGGAACCCTTCGATTCGTCTACTTGACGCCCTCCTCGTTCGACCCTCGCCTTCGAAAACGAGGCGACAGGGTTTCGTTGCCCGAGGGTGGGCTCGAAGAAGCATGCAACCGAAGAGGAAGGACTGCCATAAAGGAGAAACGTAAAGTTTCAAGAGCTTCAGCGTCTTCAAAGTTTCTCAAAGTTGAGCAAAAAACTTGGTCATCGTTTTCGTCGCAATACCAAGAATCAGTTCATTACTTGTGTTGCTCATATTTAGGTCATTCGTCTTATCACCTTATCGTTCCTCTTTTCGCGATCATTCTTGTCAATTTCGAGAACCGAAGAATAATAAATTTTACTATTGCGAAAAAGTTGAATATTTTCGATTTACGAAGGTAAATTTATTAGAAAGCTTTTTTTTTAAATAAAAGAGCGAGATTGAATGTCGAAGAATTCAAAATGAATATCATAAATACGATTCATTTTCTATTTTTAATTTTATATAATCTAATTTGTATCTATTATATTTCAAAGATTGTTTTATCTTCAATCGATGTGCGATATATTTGCAAATTTAGTTTTTCCAGAATTATTGTTCTAAAAGTTGTTTAATTATTAAAAAAACAAAATTATTATCTTAATAAGTTTATAAGTTTGTATATTTTGATATATTGAAATTTTTTTTTTTAATGTAAACATAAATACTATAGTACAATAATAGATATAAGTATAAGAATTATAAAAATAATAATTTCATGTTCTAATAAATTTTCATTTGTATGTTATAATATAAAACTTCCGTGATATGAAAATTAATTATTAGCTATACTCATTTACATTTATTAATAATTAAGAATTTATTAAAAAAGTAAATATTCTTTTTTGATTATTTATTCTTTCTTTTTCTTATTACTTGAATTAATTTATTAAAATTACTATCTCAACAAATTAAAATTATGATAAAATAAAATATACAATATGATGATTAAAATTCAACATAGAATATTTTTAAGACAAAAGATTTGCTTTTTCTTCAATATACGTTAAGTTAAAATTCATAAATTAATGATTGCTCGAGAACAATCGATAAACCCACAAATTTTAACAAATCTTACTGTAAAACGACTTTTTTTAATTATTTCAAATCCGAAAATACTCTTTCATCTACAAGAACTTAATCTACCTGTTATATCTGTTTAAATTAAGATTGATAATGATAAATTTCAAATAAAAGAAAAAAGAAAAATAAAAAATGCTTAATATTCAAAAAGAAAGGTAATATTCATAAAGAGGTGAAAATATTTCGATATATTGAATCGAAATGAAAAATCTGAAACACCACCATCACCACCACCACCATCACCATCACCATCTAATTTGATATTTAATGAAACACGATATTAAAACATCGGACATGGATTAAACGGCGCAATGAGTTAACGGAGAAATAAAGGGTGAAAAACTTATTCCGAAGTGGACAAAGAAGCAAAGAATCGGATGGTAGGGGACAAAGAAAAAGAGGACAAAGAGTAAGGGCGGAAGATTCATGGACGACGCATAGATTCGTCCAGAGAGAGAGAGAAAGAGAGAGAGAGAAGGATTCGTTCATGGAATTACAAATCATCGAAAAGCTGTGCGGGACGAGTTTTCCACAAAGCCAAGTAGAAATTCGCTGAAAAAAAGATCATATTCTATTCGTTACAAGCTCGCGGCGAAAGCAACTCGTAGGCAAACGATGCACGCGGCCGTGAAACGAACAGTTTCTCGACTGGCGCACATATACATATACATATATATATACATATATATATATATGTATACATAACAGTTAGGTCAGGTATAGGGTGTACGTTACAATCAAATACCGAAAACGGGGAAGGATTAAAAAAGCTATCTGCCGCGGGGATAATAAAAAGGAAAGGATGGAGGAGCGAAGAAGGAAAAGAAGCAGAGAGAGAGAGAGAGAGAGAGAGAGAGAGAGAGAGAGAGAATATGTATGTGTAACGATAAGAGAGTGTCGAGGAGGAGAGAAAGAAGACGTGGACGAGGACGTGGACGAGTAGTATATACGAGGCGGGGAGAGAGCAAGGATGACGATAGGGACGCGAGGCCGAGGTGGAAATGGAGGTGGTCCCCGGTTGGTGGTGGTGGTGACGAACATATCGAGGCAGAGACGAGACGTTTGTGTGAGTGGTTGGAAAAGCTAGATGGCAAGGTGGAAAAGAAAATCGCTCGCAGGCTATTTTCCGGAGGAATTTTTATTGGTAGGTCCGCCATGTTGGGGTAGGGGTGGGGGTAGGCGGAGGTGGCAGGGGACGGTTGGCGATTGGCGGTCGTCCGGGGCAACGCATCCATCCCTCCGTCCAATAGGGCGAGGCGAGGGGAACCTCGTGCTCCTCGCCGCCCGAGCGAAGCAAGGGGGTGGAAGGGAGAGCTGGTTACAGGCAACAACCCCCCTACCACGGGCGGCAGCAGCCCCTTCTAAACGTTCTCTGCGTTTCCCCCCGCGGAGTCACCGGGATAACTGCATTTCGTGGACAGAATCCCACAAGAACTCACGGCGAGCGGTCGCCCCTCTAACACGGCCGACTACTCTACCATCGTTTCGGCTTTTTCCTCCACGTAACGCGTTACGTAGCACCGGCGACGGTTACCGAAGGAAGGGCGCGCGAGTCATCCTCGGCCGGCTTCCACCTCGTCCTCTCGTCCTCTCGTCCTTCTCGTCCTTCTCGTCTTCGCCACCGTCTTCTCTCTAGGCCCTTTGTCGTCTTCTTCGTCGCTCGCCTCGCCGCTCGTTGCTCGTTGCCCGGTCCGCATTATCCGCGCGTCCTCCGGCCAATCCGTCCTACCCACCAATCTTTCTACCCCCCCGCGCAGTTCTCGATCGGGGCACGCGCCATTTCTCGCCAATTATTTCGATATTTCAATTTTCAAGGACGTACCGTGTCTCTGCGTGATATACTTATACCACCACCCCCTCCTCCTCCCCCACCCCCTTCCACCCTCCAGCTCTAACCCGCGCCTAATTGCATCCACGGGATAATAAGATTTGAATTTCGAATCGAGGCCACGGTAGCGAGGTAACGTCCGCTCCGCGATTAACCGAGACGCGTTTCTCTCTACCCTCTTCTTCCTCTTCCCGACGACGAACCATCGGTCCGACCATCCACGTGCATTTCTTCCTTCTCGTTGTGACGAGGAGGAAACGGTTTCCTTTTTTCTCTGTTTCTCTCTCTCTCTCTCTCTCTCTCTCTCTCTCTCTCTCTCTTTTATTTCTTTTTTCGTTTTCTTACCTCTTCGTTCCCTCTTCGATCGGCCGCATCGTTGTTCTGGATTCTGTTCGGGGAACATTGTTGAGATTGCGAATATTTGTCTCGTGAATCATCATTTACATCTTCTCGCGCAAATTTGGATCAAATTTTGGATCGTCGAAAGTCGTAAACGAGGATCTGTAGAATACGAAAAGTAGAATACGTTGTTTTGCACGTATCCATCCATCCATCCATCTGATGAGAGCTCTGTCGCGACATCTCTGCGATCGTTACGAGTTACCAACCGGAAAAGAGGACAGTGATCTCGTCGATTTGTCGCAAGTATTGGGACGAGTAATAAGACTTAATAACGAGTTCGAAAACGTGACGATTTATATCACAGTGCATTTCTAGATGATTTACCAAGATAATCAAGGATTACGATTATTTTTGCACGTTGCAACTTTTTTGGGAAGATGAGAAGAGGCTGTGAATGTTGAGGCCGCGAAATAACTAGGAAGGATTTATCGAGAGTAAAGGAACTTGTAAAAAAAATAAATAAAAAAAAAAGAAAGAAAAGAACAACAAGTTAATTGAAACAGTGTCGTCGATATTGTGTTAAAGAAGTGAACATTCTGAATGTGTGTAAACAAATAATAATTGTTTATAAAATTCAAAGTTACATTTTATATCTACGAGGAATAATATTCAAGACAGAAGCGTATAATTGTAAAATAGTAGGGAATCCGAATTGATTGTTTGCCAAGTAAACGTAAAATTCGTTCGTTGAAATCGCCAGGAAATCAACGTATTCTCGAATAAATTCGAATATCGAATCGAATCGAAAAACTAAAAACGAAATAGTTGAACACTGCAACTGCATTAAATATTAATCGGGACATCTGATTCACTGATTTAATTCGAGAAAATCAAATACCTGGAGGAATAATAATCGTTCCAGAGAGAATTTTTCACAAAATAAAATCAAAAAAATAAATAAATAAATAAAGAAGGAAAACATCGATAAGCAAGAAAATTCTTTCATTCCTCTATATTATACTCTAACGTATTCCCATTTCGATCCAAAATCTGATACACAAGATTTAGAAAAATCAGAAACTTTTCGAAATTTAAAATACTTCTTTCTCCATTAAAAAGAAAAATTCTGATGGAGATCTGATAAAATCGGGAAGGATTTGAACTTTGAAAAAAATTTCCATCGATCAAAAATCGCAGGAAATCCAATCCAATTAAAATTTTGAAGATCACTTCTCTTTCCATCGATCGCTGCAGAAAGCACAGAAATCCTCGGATATAGATCGAAATTCAAACAAGAAGAAACAAGAAAGAATAAATCAAAAAAAAAAAAAGAAAGATCGGTTCCTCTGAAGAGGAACATCGGATGATGTCCTGGTAGGTGGTGAAAGAACGTGAGGATCATCCGGTTCGAGAGACCTCAACAAGGTCAACCCGGCATCACCCTGGCTAACGACCTGTCTGGAGGTACCGGGGGTCCCGGTGCAGGCGGCGTCGGTTCCGTCGGGGGCACCTCCGTCGGCGGCGGTGGTGGCGGCGGTTCATCGTTGCCGACGACCGCCCTCAGCCTCGATCATCAGCAGTTCAACATATTTCCGGCGATTTTCAGCAGGCAGTTGAACTTTTCCGCGGCGGCTGCCGCCAACTGCGGCCAGAACAAACTGATGGACGAATTAAGGCCGAACCTCGGCTTGCTTGGTGTCGGCCTCGTCGAAAACGAGACTTTCCACTTGAACCAAGAGAAGAGAAAGTGCAGCAGCACGAGTTCGAACGAGCAAGATTTCAGTCTTTACGGGGTACACCAAGGCCTCGAGGCTAGCCCGCCGACACCGGCCGCGACGCCGGGAAGGAGCAGTGTTGGGGCTACTTCCACCGTTGGTGAGTAATCCTTCCCTCTCGCGATAACTTTCGTATTCACATATTTTCGCAGTATATGCGTGACTCCATTTATCGATTATCGGTTTACAATTGCATGCAATCGAGTCAATAGCTGGCTAAACGATAGAACGTATAGCTATGCTTCAGAGTTGTGCGTGAACTATTGACTTAAACCCATCCCTCATCCCCAACACATCGAATCGATGTGTATAACATGTTTCGATGTGTATTAGAATCTTTAATATATTTAGATTTGTATCATTTTATGTTATTTGACGCGATTTTAAAAAGATATATTCAAATGACTAAAATATATTACGAATAGAGATATTAATTTGAGTGATGGGTTTGAGTCAATAGTTCATTCACTATTGAAAGTTGATATAGCGATATTTTAGCGATATTTAGGCTGATTTAAAATCCTCAATACATATATACGTGTTTCAACGTGTAGATGGCTCGTATCATTTTATGTTATTTGACATAATTCTAAAGCGGACTACAGATACTGAAATGTGTTGCGACGCATGTATCGATATAAACGATGGGCTCGAGTCAATAGCTCACCCAACGCTGATAGTGATATAGTGTTCTAGCATCGTGTGAATTATTGACTTAGACCCATTGCTTGGGTCGATGCGTCATAACGTGTCTCAAGATGTGTAGCGGCTTTTAGATACATGGCTTGCTCGTCTTGTGTTATTTGATACAATCGTAAAGCAATCTATAGATGCTGAAACACGTTGCAATGGTATTGGCTTAAGTGATAGGTTCGAATCAATAGTTCACACAATGCTGAAAATTGACTTAAATTGAATCGATATATGCATAGTGTGTTTCAATATGTACAGAAGATTTAGATATAAGTTGTATCATTTTATGTTATGTTTGACATATTTCTGAAGCGGTCTACGGATTTAAGAAAGATATTGATTTAAGTGATGGATTCGACTTAATAGTTCATATAATATTGGAAATAGTATTGCAATATTTAATATCGTGTAAGATATTGACTTAAATCCATCCCTTGAGTCGATATATGCATCATAGTATGTTTTAATGTATATAGAGAGCTTTGATACAAGTTTGTTTTATTTTGTGTTATTTGACATAATTTCGAAAGTTCAGTATTGAAACATATTGCAATGCATCGATTCAAGCAATAGGTTTAATATTTTGTTTAATTACACGAATTTAGTATGAGTTAAAAGTGATATTGCCATCAATCATTCGATTGTCAATGGAACAATGTAATAGATACAGCGATATTTCAATTTTGAATCATTAACTTAAACCCATCGCTTGTACGTAACATATTTCAATGCGTGTAAATTGTTTTAGAGGTAAATCTAAGATATCTTTTTTGTGACAAGTCATAACAATTGATGCACTTATATATTTATTGAAGTCCAGAATAATTAAAAATGATTAAATCCATCGCTAGTTATATAATCCTTTTTAATTGAAAAAATCATCCATTTAGATTATGATATGTTTAGATTATGATATAATGAATTAAAATAAATTAAAAAAAGAAAACGTCTATTAATAATAAAAAGATATTGTTATTATATAATTATTTATATGAAAATAATTTTATTAATTATTATAAATAATTAATAGATTTTTAAATTGATTGTTGATGTAACTATGAAAAATATCGAGTTAACGAATGTTAAGCAGCTTTGAAACACCATGAAAATGATAAGATATCGATAAAGATTCAAAATATTTTATTGGGTTGTATAATAAACATGTTCAACAATTGAAAAAGTTTTGTTATATTGTTATATTGTTATATTATTTGTGGAATTTCAAAGAAATGTTTTATCATATCTAATCAAATAATTACATACGAAAAATACTTAATTACTGATTAATTGAAAGCAACTGTATGGGAGAAATAACCATTGCTCGTAGATGATATTCTGAAGAAAACAATTTCATTCGTTTCGCCATAATTATCTTGTTCCATTTGATTTTTATATTTAATTGTTATATTTGAGAAATAAATATATTAAATAAATATTATTTATTTGATTTATTTAATACGAAAAAAGATAAATTTTATGTGGTTAAAAATAAAATCATAAGATATAAATTATTAATTACGTAAGTTCTATATAAAGTTACATATCAATATTTAATATTCTTATAAAAAAACACAAACGAATTTATTACACAACTTAATATTATATTTTAACATGTTCCATGTGAACTTGATATACATTCAGTCACAAAAATCTTTATATATTATATGTATATTTAATTAATTTGAATTATCAAAATTTACGATTTGAATAAAACTTTTATAATTATGTAGATTATAATGGATTATATTATGTGGAACAACTTTTTTTTTTTAGTTTTTTTTAGGAATATTATTTCGAAAGAATCAACACTTAAATTGTATTTTTCATTTTTTAAAATACAATTTTATAATAATGCGAAAAAGAACGAAATTTTTAAATTTACAAAATGTAAAGATTTTCAATGCTCTATCACTCTGTTGTAAAATATATTTTTAATCAAAATTGTGTTCAAAACATTAAAAAATTTTGAAATTTTGAAGATTTTAACTCAAAATTTTCCGTCGATAAAAAAGATCATATATAACTATAATCTTATTATATTCTACATACAATAAACAAAATCAAAATCAAAATTTCCATAATCTAGATAAATTCTTTTGTATTGAATTCTAGTATACAAAGATTTTTGCAATTAACTGTACGTGTATCAAACAAAATCCTAATTCTAATTTAGTGAAACTATTGATTTCATAAGAATCAGATTTTATAATTTCTCATCATTTTCTTTTTGATCTGATAACGCATTCTTTTATCTGATAACGCATCGAAAACAGTAATATATTAGTATAAAAATATATTAGTACAAAAATAAAATTTTCTTGATCATTTTTTTAATTCCGTATATTGCATCGAAAATGCAAAATTTATAAATATTTATTGCTAGTAAATTATAATAATAATGATAAAAATCAAAATAATTTCAAATTAAACATTTTGTATATTTTTTTTTATATTTTATATTATTTATATTTTATAAATTAATATTATATTGTTATTTTTATAAATTATTTTCTGGCATAAAAAACTGAAAATATTTAATATTTCAAAAATACATATATATATATTGTATATAATATTTTTAAAGATTATTATAAAGATATTTATAAAAACTACTGATAAATAATGATAGATCTTATTTTTGTAATATTTTTGTAATATTACCAGATATATATTTTTTTTAAATTTTGCAGTTATCGAAAATTCCAGCAATCTCAACTTTATAGAAAATCTTTATAGAAAAATTTATCATAGATATATCGAAATTCTAATTTATGAAATAATAATATTTGGATTTCCACATAGTGGAATTTATTTCTCTTATTTTGATATTAATTTCAAAAACAAACATATTTTGAAAAAATCTTTGAGTTTAAAAGATTAATACTTACAAAATAATCATTTGTCATTTTCTTTAAATTAATTTGTTTTTTATAAAAAAATTTTCAATTATTATCGATTTTCACATTTATAATATTGAATTCATCAAGAAATTTTCCTTTTTTAAATTTAAATTCTAATTTAATATCTATGATTTTTAATATTTTATTTAGATTTTTACATATCTATTTCTACAATAATTCTCAGTTTAGCACAAATTATTTATCAAGCTTTTAACTTTTGTTTGTTATTTACTGTATCTGATTTTTTTTATACTACAAAAATGAGCAAACAAAAATTGAAACAAATATATAATTGATAATATTTTTATCTCTATAATAATTATCTCTATAATAATAACAATAACATAATATTTATAATTTATTTGTCTTCCATTTTGGATCTTCAATAATGAATAAGAAACTTCACAAATCTTGACATTATTTTTTTTTTATAAAATGCTTTTAAATATGAACTTTAAATTTTTATATGTATTTAAAAAAATAAAAATGCATTAAAATATAAGAATTCATAAGTAAAATGTTATTAATATCATATCTTGACATAAATAAGAATAATAAATATTATTGACCAACTCAATTACCAGAAAATTTTTTGAAATTACTAATAATATTTATTTTTCGTGATGACATTTGTCAATTGTAGTATTTTTTTATACTAATGAAAGATTGTTTTTTCCTTTAATGCAAAATTTTTTACATATCGATAAAAAGGAGATACATTAAATTACAATCGAATAACTACACTTGAGAAATAATCAAAGTTATAAAGTTCCATTAGATTGTTCCATATGAAATGACCTATTGGATCTCTAAAATTATTCAAAACTAAATGATTAAGTGTACCATTGAATAAGTAAGATTTGTTGTTGCACCTTAATTTGTCTGAAGCTAGCTAAATGCATTATGTTCTATCACATATTATATTACATTATATTGTACTTGATTATATTTCAATGTCAAATTATTCTGTTTTCCTATATTTTTTTTCTTCAAAATTCAATATAATGTATAAAAACTTGAAACGATTGCATTAAAGGAAGAAACAATCTTTCATTAGTATAAAAAAATATTACAATTAACAAATGTAATCACGAAGAATAAACGAGGGAATTATTAGTAAAAATCAATTAAAATAATCATTTAATTGTAATAATTTTAATCTTGTTTTTCGATGGACAAAATATCGTTGCTTGACATGGATTATGTCATTAATTTAAAAAAATGTGAATTTTCATAGAAGACTTTTTAAAATTTATTTCAATATTTTTAAAAATACTTTATTTATAATTTTTATTATTAACCATTATAGAATTATAATATGTATTGATCAATCGTTATAATTTTTTATTCTACTTTTATATTATAAAAAATAAAATAAAAATAGAAACACAATAAATGGATAAAATCAACGTTGCATTCGATAAAAGCAAATTCGAAATTTTTTTTTCAATTATATCATTTCCAAGCATCGATATATCGAATTTGTCGAGCTAAATTTTAAATAAAT